TCTGCAATGTTGGCGTGCGGATGTGTGTTCCAGGAAGACAAACAGTGTTGTTAAGCTGATATGCTCCATCGATCCATATCTCTCCCTCTACCTTTTTCTCCTTTTTTTTCTCTCTCTCCTTCTCTCTCTTCTCTTTTATTGTTAATTTTGTCATTCAATCCAATCCATTTGTCATACAGAACCATTAACATGCATTCAAAATATTCGATCAATTCTTCGTACATAAAAAACTTGCAGAAACCTTAGTTGAGTTAAGTAATAATATGTTGAATAAAATACCAAGTTGTATTCATTGTAAACAGTTTTGCAACTTTTTGAATTCATTTTGTAAACATATTTTTTGAAAAGATACTATTAATGCCATTTTATTGAAAAACAGCAAATTTATAATGATAAAAGTTAATTTGAACGAAATAACCCATTGAAGTTGAGTCAGTTAAGTAAAGATTCAATTAATTTCAATGAAATCTCATTTAAAACAGATAATTGATAACGACAATTTTAAATAAACTTTACAGACACTGCCAGTTATATTAAGATGAAACTTGCGAGATAAATTAAGTGAATGAACGCTAATGCAATGCAAAGCAGTTTAACAGATGACTAGGAGCACTTGAGAAATTAATATTAATGATGTGAGTTACAAAAACACTTGAATTTTGAATCATCCACTTCAGAATGTACATTAATAGCAAGGCGAATACAGACGTACTCCTACGTTTACACATAAAGATCACAGGTGCAGGCGTTCGTAGAGACCTCAGCTCTATCGTGAACAACCACACAGACACGCCTCTACCTAAGTTGTACACAACCCAGCTCTAACTGTGTACATTTTAAAAGTTGCATTTTAAAAGAATAATTTCAATTAATATAAATTAAATTAAAAAACTTGGGTCAACTTGTAAGAAGTTATCACTCTAACACAGGCATGCCGAATTAAGAAAAGGCAAACTCAAAGTACAAAAGATTTGGCGCGTTCATTTAAAATCTGACAGGAAGGTTATAAAGTTCAGTGATAGGTGCAAACTACATTGTGACGTCACGGTGACGTAATAGCAGGCCGATAATAATGGGATTAGGCATATCTTAGGCGTATGAAAAGCACTAACACGTAATGGTTATTGATATGTATATGGGCGTGTGTGTAGATGTGTTTAGAGCACCATCTGAAAAAATTACTCTTCAAAATCGAATTGGAATGGAATCAATTATGACTCATTACGAACCCTTCTTATTATATACACACACACACATACACACACACGCACATACACACACCACACACACACACACAAACACACACAGGCACACACACTCATACATATGTGTTTCATTCATGAATTATGTTATCAAAAAAGTTAAAATTTTAGCGTTTCACGAGTGGTCGATTTTTTTAAAATTGAGTGACAACGACTTCCTTCCACTGGGAATTGCCTGCACATCAACATGCCTGGAAAGAGTGGCATTAGACGGGACGGAATGAATGACTATTGGAGGAACAGACAGTATAACTGAACAGACTTTATATAGTCGTTTGTCTTTGAAAAAGTTTCAAGTTAAGACAGAGTTTTATAGTTATGAAAATTAATAATAATGTTATTTTTATTATAACAGATAAATTTTTCATTGGCACTCAGCAATCCTTAAGTGGCTTGAAATAAAACCACAACTAATGAAAGCGTTTCACACATTAACAAAATGGGACCTTCCAGTAACAAACATATCAACTGAGCAACAGTCTCCTATTCACCAACTTTCAACTTCAACTCTTTATTAAACACCCAACATCCCACTTCATCGGATCACCCTCTCCCAAACCCTCTTCGGGATAAAACCTACCGTGAAATTCTGACAAACTGCAGCTGGTGCAGATAAAAAACTTTACTGAAAATAATTTAGATAGAGAAATTGAACATTTGTTAAAAAAATAGACAAAGTAAATATAACCAGCTATCAAGTTCAACAAATAATGTTGTTAAAGGAAGAAAGATATACTACAAAAATATATAAATAAATATATATAACATATACATATATATATATATTTTTTTGTAATTATATATTATATATTTTTGTTTATTTATTTACGCGTGTGTGTGTAAATATTATAGATGTGTACTTTATAAAAATATTATATATGTATATATATATATATATATATATATATATAAACAAACATGTATGTTTGCATGTATATATGTATGTGTGTATGTATATATGTATGTAGGTACGTATGTATATAATAGTAAATATTTGTCATAAATAAACAGTGTGCATATAGTAAAGTACATATATAATACCTCTATAAAATTTAGCAGCACAGCAAGTTGCTCAACACTCATGGCATATATAGATGCATTATAGGAATAGATGACATAGCCAGTAGTGGATATATGCGGGCACATGCATGCTTGTTTGTATGGACGCACAATGTATATATAATTTTTCGTAATAGTTTATTGGGCAAACATACAAACAAATTTATAAATTCGAGTGTTGGTTATATTGGTTTTGTTTTGTTTGTGTATTTACACAGAAACATCGGGAATCCAAAGAAGTTGTGAGCACATATACAAACATCATATACGTACATACATACGTACATAGGTGCGTACATACATACGTACATTCGTGCATACGTACTTGTGTTTGCTTATTATTTTTTAGAAAGATAAACTGAAATTTGTTTGCGATACGTAACCACAAGTCAATTGAACTATCAACTCATTTTCATCAACAAATCGACAACTTCGTTCCCGTCATCACCAGCATCGTCATTTTTGTAACGAGTTATAATAATCTGAAAGACGAAGACGATGATGAGTAGAAGGAGGAATATTCAACACGGGAGTACGAGCAAAATGATGTGCGGATGAAGATGAGGAGGAAGATGAGGACGAAGATGATGATGATGAAATGATAACAGCAGCAGTCTCCTCGATGACGGGGGTAGTGTTTGTTATCGACAAACTATTTGAAATGATAACGAGAATATGTCAATATTGATTCGTCGGTCAAGATTGACTTTTAAATTATATGCAAAAACATATCTCTCTTATTTAGCAGCTTGTTTAACGTAATCAAATCGATCAATATGGAGGTAATTAATAGACAAACAACAAAATTTTGAAAAATTTAACTTAATTAGATATCTTTTTTATCTGTCGTTTGCTTGCCCATTAAGAATAATTGCTAGAAAATTTAAATTTGTTGTGACATTGCAGTTACGGATACACACGTCAATATTGGTTGGTTGTTGTTATTAACTAATGAGTGGTGAGTTTTTTTTTATTATTTAAAAAATTTGTTTTTAAAATAATGCTGTGGCTGTAAAATTGAGTTTTCATGTCGTTGGTTTAGAAATCGTTTTTAATTTTATGGAAGATTTTTAAAGTTTGAAAAAATTTAAATCATAAAAAGGACGCCATGATACTTTGCATCAACTCAACCGAAAAATAATTTCCATTTATTGGTGGAATGAGAAACAAATGTAGAAAAATGAACAAAAGAAGTTTTTTGGATGAATTATCATATTTTATTATAATGTCCCACTTGTCGTATGCTATTCACTTGCAAGCAATGCTGATGAGGCACTGTGCAAACAAGCCATAGAGCACAAACATACACACACATCTGCTTGATGTCTACATCATACATACATACATGCGCGCACACACACACACACACACACACGCACACACACATACATACATACATACAAACGTACATAGATATATACATGTGTAAATAGTATATGTATATATAAAGCACATACATAAACAGACAATTAGAAAGACATAATGAAACAGATGTACGTACATACAGGCAAATTGGAGCATCCTGTCGTGTAGAAATTGTGTTCAATTTGTCACTTTCTAGAAGAAAAAAACAAACCAAAAAAATGTTAAAAATTTAATTAGAAAGTATTGTCAGCAGATTAAGATTAAATAATTTCAAATTTTGAACATTCAATACTCCGTAAATTGAATCAAACTTGTCTCAGCTAAAACTTAATTCTATAAAGAAAAAAATGATTGAATATTGATATTAAACTTTATGTAATAACTCAATGAACGTACTCTGCCCTATTTTATTGTGATGCACAAAAGATCTGACATAGTTTGAAGCGTCCATTAGTTTTGAATTTTTTAATGGTCTCAAATAACATTTCACGATGTTATCAAGGTATTTCAAACAGTTTGAGATTTTTAATTTAATAAGATACATTAAAATTATTTAGAAATAGTTGTTTATAATCTATAAACATTGCAATTTTTAACGCAAACTATTCACTTAATTAAATTTGTAGATAAAGTTTTGAAGTTTTTTATTTTGAAATAGAATTTCTTTATTTGTTCAAGATTATGTCAAAGAATCAAAACTCCCCTGAATACATCAAGACGGGCGACATTGGCACACCAACAACCAGCATCATCAACAACACCAGCAACAAAAAAGGTCTCTCCGTTTCGACCGCATCATCATATGCCACGGGGAGCTCGTATTCCTGGCAGCACAACAACAACAACAGCGGCAACCAATTCAACGATATTGATAACCAGCAAAAACCATCATATTATTCTTCGCATGATTATGGCGTGCAACAACAACACCACCACCATTACGACAACAACCAGGATAGCAACGACACTGTCGACGACGACCACCAGCAGTCAATTGATACGTCGAGGCTGCTAACAAACCAAAATGAATCTAAGGACAGCAACCGGTTGTCCGCCGGTTATTTCACTAATGATTATTTGCTTTCGGACAAATACTCGCACCAAAAATACGCATCACCACCCGCCTTGTCCTCATCATCGTCGGCAGTGGCCTACAGCCAGCCCTATTTCTACCAGCCAACAAACTCCTCTGCTACTTCGATGTATTCATTTCCGTCGCAACAACCGACCTACATTGAGACTCACGATATGGGTTACGTTGGTAAGACTCAACATCTTGGCATGGCAACGGATGGCTCTGGATTTGTTGCCAGAAGGGCATATTTAAATTCCAAACCTCCTTATTCATATATCTCGCTGATAACCCTTGCTTTAACGTCATCCCCCAATAAAATGTGCACTCTAAACGAAATTTACCAGTTCATCATGGACAACTATCCATTTTACAGACAGAACCAACAACGTTGGCAAAACTCTATTCGCCACAGTTTGTCTTTTAATGATTGCTTTGTTAAAGTTACCAGACAAGCAGACAAACCTGGCAAAGGGAGTTACTGGGCCCTCCATCCAGACTCACACAACATGTTCGAGAATGGATGCTTTTTGAGGAGGCAAAAAAGATTCAAATGTCCGAAGAAGGAAGCTCTTAGACGATTAATCAAAACGTCCTCCTCGTCCAGCAACAACAACCAAAATGTCGGTGCTGGCAGTAACAGCAGTTGCAATAGCAACAACAACAACAACGAAACTTCTGACGGCTATCAGTGCAGCAGTAACGTGAAAAATTCATTAAGCAAAAACGCCAACGTTAGCATCAGCAGTTGCAATAGCAACAACAACAACAACGAAACCTCTGTCGGTTTTCAGTGCAGCAGCAATCTGAAAAATTCATTAAGCAAAACCACAAACGCTAACAACAACAACAACAACAGCAACAACAACAACAACAACAACGAAACTTCTGACGGTTATCAGTGCAGCAGCAACGTGAAAAATTCATCAAGCAATAACACCAACGTGAACAACGGCCCCAGCAAAAGCCCTTACGACAGGACGAGCTACAAGCATGGCAGTAAAACGTTTTTGCAACATTACCCAACCACGACGATGTCGTCGGTCGCATCAAGTTCCTCGTTAACTTCTTTCTCTTCTGCCGCGTTTTACGCCCCGAACAACAAATCCAACATATCTTCGTCGTTCTCTCTACTTAAATCTGGCCTATTGGATGGCAACACTTCATCCTTATTTGCTGCATCCAAATCTTTATATTACCCTCCAGTAAACGAATCAAATTCATTCAGTCAGTCTCTGTTTCCATTTTACTATCACCCACCATCGTCATGGATATCGTCGTCTTCCTCCTCATCTTCCGGCACATCCCTGCCCTCAACTTCAACGTCCAGTGTCAGTTTCCTTTCATCATTTTCCTCGCCGGCGTCAACTCTCTCTGTCGCATCAACGTCCTTCTCCTACTCCTTCCAGCCATTCACAACACTGGCATTCTCATCGTCGTCGACCTCTTCGACGCCGTCAACATTTCCGTTCTCCATCAATCACTTAATCGATCCTTTGAAACAGACGTCATCCAACAACAACATCATCAACGAAATTAACAGCAGCGCCAACGCAAACAACAACAACTTAGATACTCCAATGAAACTCAATTCTGGCTACAATGCATCGGAGGGTGGCTATTCCAACCATCCAACCTATCCATCTGCAGCACTTTATTATGACCTCGATCGCACAAAAGGGGTTTCAAAATATTACGGATTCAACTACCTGACCCCAAACAACAACAACAACGTCCACAACAACAGCAACAACATGGACAACATAAATAACGATTACTACTCTGTGGCGGATAGCTACACCAATCATCAACAACAGTACCAGCAACTCTTTCAACAGCAGCAGCAGCAGCAACAACAACAACAACAACATGATACCTACCGTCCAAACGAGACGCACGTTTTAAACCAGTGGAGTAGCTTTAAGGATTTCTAAAAATTAATAAACTAATAAAATGTATTTATTTTGTATTTATTTTCATATTTTTTTCATTTATCATTCAGAGTGACATATTTTTACCATGTTAACTATTTTGATATGCATACATTTTTAAATGTTAACATTCACGTTGTAACAGCATTTCAAAGCGATCTAAGTGTACAAACATACACTAGTACATACATAACCAACCCGTGGGATAAGCAGAGTGCATGCATTTATGTGTGCATGCCCGTGTTTGTGTGTGTGAATGTTTGCCCATGTTTGTGCTTGCGTGTGTGTGTGAATGTGTGTGGGCACATGTCTGTATTTGCGTGTGTGACTTTGCAAAGTTTGTCTGGCTAGAAGATGTAGTGATGGCTGAATGGGCGGTAATCAGATGGAAATGTGATTTGTGGGAGGACGAGTGAACTGACTTTATCTAGAGAATTGTTTTAACTTCGAAACACTGGATTGATCGGTTAAATTGAAGAAAATTGTTAACAAGCTAATTGAAAAATAATTCATGAATGAATGAATGATTGATTGATTGATTGATTGATTGATTGATAAATAAGTTTAATGGATGAAAGTAATTGTAACTGATTATTTCATACGCAATGATTTAGGAGACGGAGTGCTTGATAATTACAAATAATAATTCACTGGACACGGGCGTGATTGAAAACAGAAACAATTGAAAAATCACAAAATGAATAATAATCATCATCAGTTAAATGCGTCGATTGGAGTTTGACACGACAAGAAATTATCCCATTTTAAACAACATCCTTACACACGCGTCGGCACGTAATTTTTTTGTTTAAAAAAAATGTATTTTCTTATTCATTGGACAGATTTTGTCTTGCACTTTCTGGTTATTTTATTAATTTTTGTATGTATATATTACGCTTATATATACAAGTAAGCGTACATGATGTTTATGTATGAATGTTTGTGTGTACATATTCGCGAATGTGTCGGAGCTTTGATATTGTTGATGTACTATATGACAGCACACCACCTATCTCGCCTATCTAGAAATTTATTGAACGGTGTGCCCATTATTATTGTCTAATGTTTGCATTACAAGTGCTGGTTTGTGAGCTGCTCTGTGTTGTGTGGATGAAATGTGAAGACTGCCCCTTATTACAAACACATATGTGCAGTAAGTATGTCTACGTGTGTGTACGTGTGCGTGTGTGTACGTGTGTGTACCTGTGTGTGTGTGTGTTTATATACAAGGAATGGGCAGGCATAGTTGTTAATGAGCACAAACCCAATATAAGATCTGACATAACTTGCCAACTGAAATGAATCAAGACACGATATGATGCAATATCGTCACGTCAACAAATTATTTCGCTTTCTAATTTTTTTTTTAGTTTAAAACAAAAAAGAATTGAAATAGTAAGTTTAATTACTTCATTACGAATAATAATCATCATTATTATAATAATAATAACAGTGATAATAAAAATTAGCAGCTATTAACATTTATTTGCAGCAAAGTTTGACAAAGCTGAACGAATGGGATTATATCATTCATTTGGTTTCATAAACAGACAACAACAATCAAAACCGCAACAACAACAACAACAGCAACCACAACAAACAACAACAACAATAGCTTTATCTTTCTTAAACATTCCTTTATTTTTATTTTATTTCCTTGCAACACCACCAACATCAGAAACAATTATCTCTTATCATCTCTTCAACGTGATTTGTTATGTTGTGTTCATTATAACCTCTTGCTGGACGATATAAATTTTTGATTATATAATAACAATTACTATAAATAACATATTAAATCACAGACACACACACACACACACACACACACACACACACACACATATATATATATATGTGTGTGTGTGTGTGTGTGTGTGTGTGTGCGTAAAAAAAATTTTCAAGTGTATATTGTTTATTTGTTTGATCTTTTGGTTATTTATTTGTTTACCTGTTTAATCATTCTTTAATTTTAATTTTTATTTCTAAATCATTTATATATATATATATGTATATATATATATATATGTATATATATATATGTATATATATATATACATCAGGCCGTAAATTCTCACACTCACACACACACACACACAGATATATATATAAATATATATATATATATATATATATATATATATATATATATATATATATATATATACCTAAATGCAAACAAGCAAACACACATACATACATACAAATGCTTGTATGTGCGCGTGTATGTATGTGCAGCATGCGATGCGAGGGTAAAGCATTGTCAATATCAAAAAATTATGTTTGTTACAAGTTTAAACTTAAATTTTCTCTTAAATGATGTTATTTATTTGTTTTTTTAATAATAATAATAATAATTATTTAAAACGTTCCTGTTTCTCACTGAAGACGTTACGCAAATTCATTTCGTTTTTTTTCCATTCATTTTCAGCAGTTCACTCTCATTTCTAGTTATTAGTATGTAGGGATATCTCAATGTTTTATTTTTATACAAACTTCCAACTAGAGTCTATTATTGGCAAATGATAACTCATTAAATAAATCTGTTACATACCACGAATACATCACTATAATATATATATATATATATATATATATATATATATATATATAGTGTTATATTTTGATAACACTTTATATTATTTATTAATTAATTAATTTATTTATTTTCTAAGAATAGTTTTTCTTTTTTTTATCATTATGATTTCTTTGCTTGTACTATTATGAAACATTACGATGATTAGGATAGTAATGGCGATGGACATACAGCGGTGATGATGATGACGACGACGATGATGGCCACGGTGTTTGTATATGTTTTATAGATGTTAAAAGACGTTGAAGAAAAAAATGAAATTTAAATGTCATTCGACTCTTTGATCGATATAACGCTACGTAATATTTATATTCCAAGCCACATGTTGCTGGGGCAGAAAAGGTATTTTCAAATCCTATTAGCTCTAGCAATAATGATAATAAAACAAATGATAACAAAAATTGTGAATTAGAAATAAAATAAAAATGTCAATATAAAATCTCAACCAATTCACTGACCCACAACCTTACTATCTATATCCATCTATATTAGAACTACAACCATTCCACTGCCACCACTGCTGCCAATGAATGTAGATACTCACCTTAGATACTTTTGATACTTTTCAGTGGCGAATCTAGGGGGGGGGTGCGGGTATGCATCCCCCACCAGACTAGGAAGGAGGAAAAGGTTGAGGATTATGTTTAAAATTTAAAATATGAGTGGACAAAAATTAACTAAAAATGGTCATTAACTTGTCAATTTTGAAGATCATCTTTTCATCAAAGCTGGAATAAACTAGCAAAAAAAATCATACTCTAGCGCAAAATTTTGCGTCCGCACTTCTAGTCTTGATACAGTTGTTATGATTATTTTAGCTGAAGTTTCAAAAATAGAGAAAAAGCTCTTTTAAACCATTACTGTTAACGTTTATAATTTATATCATTCCTACTACCGCCATCGTCAATATTAAGTTCGTCATCTCTTACATCATCATCATCATTCAATAAATTTGCTAGCATTACGGTAACTTTGAATAAATACTGGCACAAAACCACAAAACTGACACTCGTTTTTCACGGTAGAA